GGCGCCGGGCTGCACCACTTCAAATGGGATTCAGCGCCTGCTGATCCCAGGTTGGGCCATAGCCCTATAGGTAACGGTGCAAGGTTATTGCTGGGGAGATTCGTGGATCGAGGCCGGCAAGCGGCGGTACGGGCGCAGCGGAGCAGCGGAGCGGCGAGGAGAAAGCCGAAGGGTTGAGGGCCCGTCGCGGTATCCCCCTCAGGCTTGTGCTGATGGGGGCAACGGCGGGCTCGGCCTATGAGAAGACCCGGCGTAATAGGCTTGCTTTTCTTTATTTTTGTGTTTGTTCTTAGTTTTTATTCTTATCCCTTTTTTTTTTTTTTTTTTTTTAGGGCCTGACAAGCAGGCCGCAGACGGATCAGGCAGAGAAGGTGTGCGTAGTAGCCCCAACCACCTATAGTAGGCAGGCGGAGTGTTGGCCCGAGGTGACTCCTTCAGGGCATCCGCGAAAGTTGGAATGACACGGAGAAAATCGGTGTGGCCCAGCGCGCGGGCGGTGCGCTTAAAGTAAGAACGATTCTTGTTTTCTTGTCTTGCTGTTGATCTCACTCCGTTTTCTGTTCGACCTGGCATCCGCGCTGATCGGGCCGCTGAGCGCTAGTCGCGTTCACTTCGACACAGGGAAGCGGAAGGGAGGACCGAACCTGGGCGTGAAAACGCGCCGGGTGCAGACGGGTTGTGGCAGTGAGGAGAGGGATCGGGTGGACAAGGGAGCAAGGCTAACTTCTCAGGGTCGGGCGGATCTGCCGATGTGGTTAGATGGAGGTAGAGCAGAAGGGGAGGCGTTAGTTGGGGAACTCGCTGGGCAAAGCTATGGTGCGCTGGGGAACGAGGGCGAAGGGAGTACAGGTTGTGTAACTCGCTCGTTCTGTAACAGAAGCGAGTCAGAGGGGACCCGATCCCTGGGTCTTAGGCCGTTACGAGTTGGTTGGCGGAGACAGTCTAATGTGTAGTCCACTCGGATAGGTGGTAGAGGGAGATCGGGCTGCGCCGAGAGGTGACTGAGATGGCAGACGCAAGTAGGGCGTGGAAGAGGAAGGAGAACTCACATAAGTCGTGATGGGCTTGGGTGAGAAGAGAGGCTCTCCCCGGGGCCTTCACGCTCGACGAGTCAACTGATAAGGGTGGGTCTGGAGTTAAAGTAGCAAAATCGGCGATACGGTGCGTAGAGGTTGCATGGGGGAGAAGGGCACTCCTACGAGAGGATGTATCTGCCTGTGTTCTGACGACAGATTCGTACGGTTCGGCTAATCCCAAAACAGCGAAAACGGTGTGAAGCCAGCGGCGGGGTCGGAGACGGGGGTAAGGGACTTACCTGTCAAGCGGAGTGTCGGGCAGGGGCTTGGTCGACTTGCCCACCTTATGGGGGAACTAACGAGGAGTCAGCCGAAGTCGAAGACCCGACTGCAGGCGAGGGCGTCGCTCGTTGTAGCCGTGYCGGCGCCCRTGATAGGAAGGGAGCGCACACTCCCGCACTCTAGAGGAGGGTTCGTTTGATCTTGCTCATTTCACCGGTGGACGAAGGGAGAGGCTAGCTGCAAAATTGCCAATTTCCCTGCCCCGCACGTGCCCGACCAGGTTGGACTGCAGGGCTCGTCTGTGCGCTGGGGCATGTTGAAGGCTGGCACTTGGCAAAGACGGGAGGGGTGTTCCCTGGCCGTAAYTACGATTGTTATTGCGAAGCCATGGATTGTCGCTGATGGGCGTTCGATCCCTRACTACTTACTTGGGTATAGCTGCGAACCCTGAAGTTGCCCTTAAGAAGGCTGTTAGTACGCCTTGCCTTCGAGGAGCTCGCTACTACTAGGTGGTGCTATCATTCACCGTGTTTTCGCACAGGGCGATTGCAGAGGCGTACTAGTATTGCTGTTGCAGGGCCAGGATCGTGGTGCCTGTCGTCTCCCTCCTGAAGCCATTGCTACGGGTACACCAGGACATTCGTTGCTCTGGCCGTTTGTA